CAAAACTGCCCCTGAATGAAAATATCTTCAAAAGATATTTACGAAAAACACCCCAAGAAAAAAAAAAGATTCCGAAAAACTATGCATCCATGCCCCTATGGACACTGGGAGCAACCAGAGTACTTTTCTGCAAAAGTAAAGATATGTATTTCGTGGAAACCACTCAAGATGAAGATACGTGAAGTCAAAAACCAACTCTGAACACAAGAAGTGTGGTTATGCTAACAAAGTGACAACGGGGAAAAGACAAAATAGGGAAAAAAACGAAATAGGGAAAAGGACAAAAAGTGAATAGTGTCGAAAACGAAAAAAAAATGGAATTGATTCGATCCTCAAAGGAAGTTGTCAATCCACAGAAAAGAGTCTCGGAAATTACTCCAGAGCACTCGAGACGACACTAAGCGACGAGGGATTGAACCCTGAAAGGAAAAGATCAACGGAAAAAAAATATCCGTGAAAGTCTGAGAAAGGGAAATGAATGAAAATGACCGGGTTATTACAAGTGAGCATCCTATAGTGTGTATTATATACATATATGGACTACTCTAGATATTGTTGAGTCTATCTAGGATGTATTTGCGTATCAGATTCTTGTTTGTATCGTAATAGAATATGACTTGCATGTGGGCCTGACCCACTCTTTTATTTTTCAGGTGCTCGTCAGTTTTATGATTAGAGCTTGATCGTGCAGAGCAGATACGAACTTCCATTCCACCGACTATGTAGGACTGCTTCCTTATTAGCTTTGGATTTTGATTACAACTATTTTATTTTACGGTTGGGATTTTTATTGGGGTCCACTAGATGGATTCCCGAGTTGTTAAATAATTGGAGGTTTTAGATTAATGGATTTGAACAATTATATTTTGAGGATTTTCAATTAGAATTCTTTTCAGCCATTCTTTATTTATTTCTTATTATTTCATCTTGTATTCTGTGTTCATTAAATATTAATTATTTGATATTTTCCTCGGGTTTAGGCTTGGGCCTGATCAACCCATGTCTCGGATTCGAGAGGTATCACAAGAATGAGGAGGATAAGACAAGTGAGCTAATGCCTAGCACTCTATCTTGTATAGAAGATGAAGTGGCAAGTGAGTTTGTGGCTAATCCAAAATTGCACAACATGATTAATGAGGACTTTCCTTGTTTTGATCATGATCTTATTCCGGCCTTTGATACTTTAGAAAGTGGGGAGATGTTGACCACCATAGAGGTGGATGAGAGAAAACTTAAAGAAAACCTTCCTTCAATTCTCTCCAAGAACCCTCTTGAGGAGTGCCTTTTGAACATGTATGAAAGATATGATTTTGACATTGAAAGCTCCATAAATGAAGTTAACTCTCTAACGGACTCCGTGGCTATTTAAGAGGGTGAGGAGATGGTTATTTTTGAGGAAAAGAAAAAGGATGAAGAGATGGTGTTTCTTGATATTCCAAATGAGTCTTTGAAAGAGAATGCCTCACCAATTATCAAAGTGAACGATCATTTGAATGTGTTTCAAGAACACAACAAAGAGGCAAGCCCAACCATTATTGATTTTGTTTTCAAGACCGTGAATGAAAGGAATAAAATAATTTCTTTTATACATTTTCAAGTTATTCTATGGGGAGAGGACTTTATTTTTGTAAGTGAGGCACTGAATGAGAAAATAGACAAGAGGGTTAATGAAAATGTTTCATATCCCGTTTTTGACGCTTTCGACTAGTGAGTCGAACCAATGTCTTACTAGAAACATTAAACACTAGTATTCGTAGAATTTCACAACTCTATTCCTCCCCCATTTCTTTTTATTTTTCACTTCTTGCAGCATCTAGATATGTTCCATTGAGCTTTATTGAAGATTTCAGTCATGTTAGGCATAATAAAAATTTCTGCTTTAAAAAAAAAAAATGAGCCAAAAAAATTTTGAAATTTTTTCAACCCAGTGCTAGTTCGATTGAAAATTTTCTTAATCGATTGACTATGTTCTCGATTGATTGAAAATTCTTTCGATCGATCAATTTTACGTCGAAAATTTTTGTTCATAGGGCATCAATCTATAAGCTTTTCGATCGATCATGGGAAATCTCGATCGATTATTGAAAATTTTAAAATACAAATATTTGTTTCAACATTATGTCCTTTTGTGTAGTCATGCATACTTTATGATTTATCTTAGGCTTGATCTCATATCTCTCTTTCATCTTGTGCTATGTTGTCTTAAAATGCTTAGTTTGGTTATCTTTATCCCATTTGATATTTGATGTAAGTTTTCTTCAAAAGAGTTTGAACCACTGCTAGAGCTAGATGAATCCATGTTCGCAGCACCGATTTTGCGAAAAAACAGAGAAAACCCCAACCCCAACCCCAACCCCAACCCCAACCCCATCCCTATCTTAAAGGGAAAAACAAACTCACTGAAGAGATGTGCGTAAATTGATTTAAGGCAAAGTTAAACCAAAACAAAACAATAGATTTAAGGCTCTGTTTGGAAAGAACTAGTACACTGGAAAAGAAAAGGGAAACCAATAAGAAGGAAAAGCAAAAATAGTAATAGTATTAAGGGCAAAGTACATAAAAACCCCCCCTCTACTTGTAACATTTTTTAATAAACTCTTATCTATTTTTTACCAAAGAATCCTCCTCGACGTGTAGCCCTTTTTTCCAATAAATCCACCTTGCATAATTTTTTTTACCAAAGAACACCCTCAACTATATGAAGAGATAAAAGAGTTGATATTGGGATCAAAATGCCCTTTATTTAAATCTTAATTCTCCCGAACTTCAAAAATTCATATATCACAAACCATATATTTAAAACCTGTAAATAATATATGCATGGAAGGCTTATGAAATAAGGATTCCAAAAATATAAGATCTGTATAACAAACATTCATAACTAGAGAGAAATAGGCAATCTAAAAATCTACTCCAAAATTCTTATTTTAAATTTAAAAAATAAAATATTTGAGATATTTGCTAGAAAATTTTCAGAATTATTCATTTACATATGGAATCAAATATAGAAAAAATTTAGCCCCAACAGAGATCGATTTCATGATATGTCATATTTTGCATCAAAGTATTTTCATTCTTTTATAGACTCACTATTTAAAAATAAATAAAAATGAATACTCGGTCTCTATTGAGACTAATTTTTTTTATATATTATGCTTTATATAAAAATGAATAATTCTAAAAATTTTCTTGCAAATAACCCGAGTATTTCATAAAAAATAAAATAAAATAAGATTGTTGAAGTAGATTTTTAGATTATCTATATTCTCTTTGGTTATGAAGTTTTATTAAACAAATCTTATATTTATGCAATCGTTGTTTTATAAGCTTTCCGTGCATATATTATTTGCAATATTTGGATGTGCAATTTGTGATATATGAATTTTTGAAGTTCGAGAAAATTAAGATTTAAATAAAAAGGGCATTTTGATCCAAATATTAACTCTTTTACCCCCTTAGATAGTTGAAGAGGGTTCTTTGGTAATAAATTAGACAAGGGGGATTTATTGGAAAGGGTTATAAGTTGAGGGTGGGTTTTTTGGTACAAAATTAGATGAGGGTTTACTGGAAAAGGTTACAAGTTGAGGGGGGTTTTCTTTACTTTGCCCTAGTAATAATAATAACAAAAAGTAAAAGAGAAAAGAAAAGAAATATTTATTCTACAAAATTATAATGCAAAACAGCAACAATACTAAGTGTGAATATAAATGAGGTTTGATTTTTCTATTCGTTTTTAAATGAAAGTATTTTTAAATTAAAAAGTATTTAATTTTTCCATTTGCGATATACATAAATTGCTTAAAGTATCAAAAGGCATTTTTTCAGAACGTTTGAATCCGTCTTTAATTTTCAATAATTCATAAAATACTTTAGCATCATTTTTAATTTCAAACTCAATCTTTTAAGCATGTTTGTAAAGTCTTTTTTCCAAATAGATCTTTGCGGAAATTGTTATAGAAGTTAAAGCTTGCATTTTATTCAAACTACATTGGAAATGATTCTCTTTTGTTTAAGAATAAAATAAAATAAAAAATTTGTCTAGTTTTAAGTTAGTGTTAATTTTATAATGCATTTATCACATTTAGATTTTAGGTAGGCCAACTCTAAATTGGTGAATTCTGCCATATGGGCATATGGCTGTCACGAATGGTCTAATCTTATTTATGAAAGGGCTAAAATAACAATGAATGTCATAAGATTCATATGCACTCGAAGCACATTACTCATCTGGGTTGCTCCATTAACATCCAATGTATAGCACAAGATTTTAATTCTAAAAAGTGGTGTGATACAAAGTCTGAAAATCGGTCACAACTAACTACTTTTATGTGAGTAGCAAAAGAAAGAATATCATCATCATGTAGTTTATCTTCTTCTTTTTTTCTTTTTCTTTTTTTATTATTTTTTATTATGCAGACAAGAGACATCATCAGAAATGACATTCGTCACTTAGGTAATATGATCAATTCACTACAATGTGAATACCAACATAAAAGTACTAAATCATCTAACAGCCGGATTCTATTTTAAAGAACAACATTATTTGTAAACAATATCTTAAGGATTATAAAATAAAGCGTCAGTTGAAGAAACTATATATTAGCAAAAGTTCAACATCCATATAATTGCTGCCTATCCAATAATAAAAACACATTGATTATGTACTCTGTATTTGCCTACAGTGTAAACATTGAGAGATCCACCAAAAGATACTAGCAGATGTGTAAGACGATATGTGAAGAGCCTGACAAAAACGTCTTGTAACTTTAATACTTCATTATTTATACCATGTCATTACTATAACGGACACTATTAAATTTTTCTCAAGAAATAACCTGTTAGCGTTAAAGTCAACTAATATTTGATAAGAGGAGGGTCGAACTATTATTTAGTTATGCTACGTGTCCAGGTGCAGCAACTGGTCTAGAAAAAGGCAGCAAACTCACTTCCAGCACTCCAACTAAGAACTTGAATCACACTCATAGTTCTCTTTGTTGCACCTAACATCTGCAATAAACACAAACATGTACAAAATTTACAGAAGCCAATTAAGCAAAAGAAAAACTGAGGTTCCATTAAAAAAATTAATGCATGTTAGTAGGCATTTATTTTTTTATAAATAAAGGGTAAGCTTTTATAAATATATATTGAAGAGAAATGTACAATGGGTCCCAACGAGGACTCAACAGAGCCTTCGACAAGAGAAAGAGAACAAAAGCAGAGCTATCACAAGTTATAAGCTTTGCTTGAAAGAAACCAACAATCTGCACAAAAGTACAAGCAGAACCATATCAACATAAACTCGCACTCAAACCAGACCCTAATTCCTGAGACAGGCATGAGCATTAGTTAATTGGCCTTTCTTAACAATAATAAGTCAAAAACATTTTATAAATACCTCAAATTTCTGGAAAAGATACGCGCTTGATTAATTCTCTTCTTAGCCTCCCATAACCATCGACTCCCCAGCTAGTCCCCCACGAATTTTTTACTTTGTAATATTTTATTCCGGTGTCCGGATCTGTGCCATACCCCGTCAGTATTATTGCATGATCACCAATTGCTTTCTCACCAGGTTCAGGGCCTTCATAAATGCCCTATTAAAAACATAATAAAATAAACTAATTAAATTAGTAGCATTTTTTCTTTTTACAACAAAATAAAGATATCATGCACGCTCAGCAAAGAATTCGAATATAGTTAGTACAGGAAGCTAGCTGTGTTAAAACAAAAATAATGGACAAACTCTACTACAACATAAGCAAATTTAAAAAGATGGGCAATAAAGTTCATGCACTAACTGTGCTAAGCAAAAAAGAGCAGTAATAAAGTCCATGCACCAACTGTGCTACAACATAAGCAAGAAAACAGAAGCAACTGTGCTACAACATAAGCCAACAAAAAAAAAAAGGATTAGCAATACAGTCCAGTCATTAACTGGGCTACAACATAAAGCAAAAAAGAAAAGAAGAAAACTAGTTATTTGTTAATTAAAATGCTAACCTCTTCGACTTTCCCTAGTGGGTTGCATAGTGGTATGGCAGCTCCCAGGGGCTGTTATGCGTAAAGCCCTTAGTATGGCCATTTCATCTTCACTGTTGACATTCTTAAAATTCATTATCCGATAGGGTCTTTCTTCCACCTAAAATAAGAAAGCATACAAAGATTTAGATATATAATATATTGTCAAATTTATACTACAAAAAACAAATTATAAGGATATACCTACATTTTCAAAATCAGTTCTACAAGTCCCTTTCCCACCTACATACTGGTAATTCTCCTCAGCATCAACTCCATAATTCATGACGTATCTAAATCCTCGATTTATAGAGGATGTAAAGCATCCCACTGCATCCGGCTTGGCAGTCGTTTTTGGTGGATATTTTACCGGTAGACAATCTACCAATTCTTGTTTGGCTTGTTGAACAAACTCATCTGGTTGTTCATCCTTATTTGATAGGAATTCTACACAACCCAGGGATGTCCATGCATAACAACAGTCTACAAAAAGATTTCAAAATTAGTAATTTACTATAGAAAGTACATGATATTAATTTATATCATAGTTAAATAAAATTTATAGATGTACACATACTGCACTCTCCTTGATCTCCAACTGCGGTCAATCTATCCGAGTGATCCACAAACTCTGGAATGTCATCATCCTATAATAACGAAAAACAATAAATATGAACGGATCACATTCACTCAAAAAAACAAAAAAAAAAAAAAAAAAAATTGATTGGAGCACATTAATTTGTGCATGAGACCCTCTTCTGCTAGTCAATCTAAGGAAAGCCTTTTCCTCCTACCAAAATTTTATATAGATTGAAAAAGTAAGATATAGAGTCAAGGGGGCACAAAGCCCAAACCAACGTAGCAAACTTAAAAAAAAAAAAAGAAAAAAAAAAAAAAAAAGTGACATAGACAAGGACTACAACAACACAAACTACCCCCGGAACCCAGACATAGAAATGCTTCAAATGGAAAATAGAAATGCTTCAAATAGAAATTACATACAGTGTAATAATACTTCTATATTTTAGAAGAATTATTTAATTAAATTAATTTATCTTTAATTAATTTATTTGTTTTAAATTTATTTATTTATTTGTTTGTTTGTTTATTTGATTTATTGGTATAATGATTGTGTGTGTATGTAATTGATTGCTGATTGATTTGTTGACGTGTTAACTTTATTTGTATGGACTAAGTTGGTTATTGTGATTCTTGTTTGTGTATTTAATTGTTTAATTATTTTATTTATTTATTTATTTAAATTTAATGGACTGAGTTTGGAATGTTTGGACTATATACACAAATTTCGTACTCTGCAAATAAAGAACGAAATAGGGAGTAAATAGTAATTTATTGATTTATGAAAATTGATGACTACAATTCTCTGAGATATTCTTTACAAAAGAAATAAAGTATCTTTTGATTCGATCTCCTTTGTTGGTTGGATCCAAGGGTTATTGGAGCTTGTTCTTGAATCGGGATGTTGACAATTATCTTCAAGTATTTGTAGTTGAGGAATACCGCTGATGATTTCTAATCGAGGTCTAAAGAAGCTTGATCTTGAACAGTGTTGTTTGATGATTCTTTGAACTTGTTGAATTACAGGAAAAGAACGGCAAGATTTTGATGTACTTGTTGTTCTTTGTTGAATTTGAGGAAGAACGGCACAGCTTTGGATGTGCTTGTTGTTTTTGGTCTTCAAAGAATTTGTTGAATTTGTGGAAGAATGGCACGACTTTGGTTGCGTTTGTTGCTCTTCGTCTTCAAGGCTTGGGTGTTAGGAATGAATGTCGGCCATATTTTACTCTGAAATTCTAGACTTTTGAGTCTCTGAATTTCTACACCCCTTCCTCCTTCCTCCATGTCTCTATTTATAGGCTTCTTGGATTAATAGGATGATGACATGTATCCTCTCCTGATAAGGACATAATTATAATTGGATCGGACCGGTTATATTGTGATAATTATCCATAAAATAATTATTCCAAATATATTTTATTAGGAATAATTATTTTTTTGTTTAATCATCTAGGCTGGGATAATTAAATAATTTAAGTGGACCAAGTTTAGGCCAATTAAATAATTTAATTAAACATGAGACCATATTTGATGGGTCAATTTGTCAAAACAAAAGTTTATAAAATTTGAGTGTCTACAAATTGCCCCCACTTCGAGTTTCACGTTTGACCGGAGTTGTCTCTTATTTCATATCGGACTTGAAGTATCCTACTTGGTCTTTGAATTGTAAAGTTCCTTCTTCTTCTTCTTCTTCTTTTTTATTTTTTATTTTTTATTTTTTATTTTTCACTCTCCTATCCAACTTTGGATTGTAAGATTTCCTTTTTCACTTTTCTGTCAAACTTTGGATTGTAAGATTTCCTTTATCTAATTTGAATTGAATTATACAAATCCTAGTACAAATATGAGGTATTTTGTTGCCTATATATACAACCAATGTTATAGGGTTTGACATCAATTCCAATAGCTTCTGAAGACTTGTTAGATTGCAGCCTCTAAAGATTTGTTGGATTGTAGCCTCTGAAGACCGTGTTGGATTATGGCCTCTGCTCAAACAAATAATTGGTATGACTTTTTTTTTCTTTTTTTTTTTCACTCTTTTTTTTTCCGCTCTTTTTTTTTTCACACTTATTTTTTATTTTATTTTTTCACACTCTTTTTTTATTATTATTTTTTTCCCAGGATTCGAAAGGACCTTTCCTATTAGCACAAATGACAATTTTGTCGACTGAAGCATAAAATTGAGTATTCTCTCAATTATTTACATTATGATTGCCATGGAGATGTATTCAAAGTATTCCTCGAATGTTGGTGCCTCGCCACTAATACTCTTTATTGTTCTATTGGCGAGTTGTCAATTTCCCTTCAAGATTTATATACATTAGGCGGTCTCCCTTTTTAAGGAAGAATTTATGATGAAGTTATTCCTTGTACAGAAGAACTACTCTCGAGAGCTGGCAAAAGCAAAAATTCTCTCTCATTGAGTTGTCAACATCTATTTTTGACTTTCCACAGACTCTGCAAGAAGTGTAAAGGAGAACAAAATGTGATGCTATCTGACTGGATTAATTTCTGGTTCAAAGGTGCATCAAGGCATGTCATACTTTTTTTTTTTTTTCAGCAACACCTCGGTGGTGAGCATAATTTTTTTCTTTCAATGACACCTAAGCGGAAAGCTAAATTTCTCTTTCAGCAATTCCTCGAAGGCGAGCAGAATTTATTATTATTATTTTTTTTTAACGACACCTCAGCGGAAAGCCGAATTTCCCTTTCAGCAATACCTCGGCGGCGAGTAGAATTTTTTTTTTCAATGGCAACTCAGTGGAAAGCTAAATTTCTCTTTCAACAATACCTTGGCGGCGAACAGAATTTTTTTTTCTTTAATGACACCTCAATAGAAAGCCAAATATCTCTTTTAGTAATACCTCGACGATGAGTAGAATTTTTTTCTTCAACGATACCTCAGCGGAAAGCTAAAGATCTTTTTCAGCAATACCTCAGCGGCGAGTGGAATTTTTTTCTTCAACGACACCTCAACGGAAAGCCGAATTTCTCTTTCAGCAATACCTCGGCAGGAGCAGAATTTATTTATTTCAACGACACCTCAGTGGAAAGCCAAAGATTTTTTTCAACAACGACATTTTACCGTCGGTTCAAATTTTCCTTTGCATCTGCAATCCTGGCGATGAACCAAAATTATTGTTTGCGGCTACACTTTGGCAGTGGGCTTAATTTCTTTCTTGCAACTACAATTTGGTGATAGACCAAAATTTCCTTTACAGCTATAATTCGGTGGCATACCAAGTTGACATGGTGCGACGAGCACTTTTGATATTGCATGATGAGTGACAATAATATCTTGACAACAAGTGAAGTTAACAAATTGAGACTAACACTTTTGATATCTCGTGATGAACACACTTTGCCTGAACTTTGAACAAACTTCCAAGTTGACAAATTCGGCGGCTTTGGATGTGCTTATTGTTCTTCGTCTTCAGAGAATTTGTTGAATTTGTGGAAGAACGACACAACTTTGGTTGTGTTTGTTGTTCTTCTTCTTCAAGGCTTGGGTGTTGGGGATGAATGCCGGCAGAGATTCTGTATTTTACTCTGGAATTCTAGACTTCTGAGTCTTTGAATTTCTGCACCCCTTGCTCCTTCCTCCATGCCTCTATATATAGGCTTTTTGAATTAATAGGATGATGACATGTGTCCTCTCTTGATAAGGACATATTTATAACTGGACCGGACCGGTTATATTGTGATAATTATCCATAAAATAATTATTCCAAATATATTTTATTAGGAATAATTATCTTTTTATTTAATCATCTGGGATCGACTAATTAAATAATTTAAGTGGACCAAGTTTGGGGCAATTAAATAATTTAATTAAATATGAGACCCATATTTGATGGGTCAATTTGTCAAAACAAAAGTTCATGAAATTTTAGTGTCTATATGGACTAAAGGATATGGGCTTAGGCTAGAGAAGGAAGCCTTAAAGGATTTGAGACAGTTAAAGGCCCATGGATGTATGATTATATATATATATATATACACACACACACACACACATATATATATATATATTATGTGAATTATATAGCTATAAATAAAGATATTTCATTTACATAAATATATTAATTTGTATGACTAGTGTAGTCAAATCCTACAAGGATAAGGATTGGGAATTATATATATATATACACACACACACATATAGTATCATTATTATGGAAATAATTATTATATATATATTGCATGAGTTAAATATATATATATATAGTAAGTATGTATATACAACACGTATATACATGTATAATTATTGTTGTTATAGGATTTTTGTATATGTATATATATTAAATGATTATACATATATATATATATATATTAGGTAAATATATATATATATATATATATATATATACACACACACACACACACACACACACACAACCCCAACCCTTCTTCTAATCCTACTAGCTATGTTACGTGCCCCCCAACCCTTGTTAATTCTAATCCTACTAGGTTATGTGCCATATATATATATATATATATATAACATTGTGAGGGTTTTTACGTGCACAAGTGAAAGGCAGAGAAAGAGTTGCCGAGAAAGATAAATAACCTAGAAAAGAATAAAAGAAGAGGAGGAGAAGGGAAGGCCAAACCAGAAGGGAGGCCGGACCTGTGGAGGACGACGACAAGGTGGCTGGAGTTGCAGATGAAATCAGGAGACTTACGACGTCAGTTTCGTTTTAAAACCTTCGGGTGAGTTCTTTTCTACTTCTCATCTCATAACCCATAAATCTTACACCTTTGGTATCGGAATCATGTAGATTATTTGCATGTTAATCATGTAGACATATGGTTAAAATTATGGAACCAACTTATAGACGTGTATGTATATATATGTGTGTGTGTGTGTGTGTGTGTGTGTGTGTATGGGTATGATGATTTTTATTGTTGTTTATACCTATTTGGATTTTGTAATTTATGTTATAGGATGACGTAGAATTAATTAGGACGTAGCAATGAATTAGAGGCGAAATGAGTGATTTACATAGCCAGAAAACTGTTGTCTCAAGGAAGAAGATGACCACTATAGGTTTCAGTCAACTAACTT